TATCCAGGGTGCTAGTAGCGTTGTAACCGGTATTGATATGATTTGTAAATAATAAATAAAAACAAAATGTTGTTACATACCTAGCTTCGAGAAGTTGTAGGATTCGTTTCAATCCTGACCCTAGTAATACTTTCGCGATGAGTTCGCGGCGGACGAGGTGAAGTGAGGCGAGGTGCGGAAGTGATATCGGCCTAATGGCGGGAAAGGATCCTTGTAATTGCCCATCTGCATATTCATGACGTAGACGATCACTCTCATACGAAAGCTGCTTTTGAATATTATAGTTTGTATTATATTTAATCGGATAAAGCAATTGCTTTAATTAAATGATTATTTAATTTAAATTTAATTATTACAAACATTTTAGTTACTCAAACGGCAACAAACCGTCATGAAATGCCTAGATTTTATCGAAAATGTACGTGTATAATTCATATGAGTTTTCAAAAATAAAACAATTGGTACAGGATAAAGAACAAAATAAAGCAAAAAGCTTTAAATCACATAAGCTCTCACCAGTTAGCTCTCAATTTCAATATCTGCGCGATAAAAAAGCTCAAAAGCAAATATTGAGTTCACAAATCATTTGATCTACTGATATTTTATGTTCACGTTACCTGTTGAAGCTTTAGTACTTTCATAAATATTCAAAACAAAACGGAAATGGAAGCGGCGTCACAAAGCTTTATAAATCGCCGCGCCGACAGACGAGCGTGACATTTCATACATCAGCCGGGTTATTTACGCGGACAGTGACTTGACGTCACGTTCAGCCACCAGATTTTTAATGCCATCGCGCATACACCGTCTGTCATATATCTTATAACATAGTAATTCCTAACCTTCAGTTTCATTAGAAAAAATGTACATAAGTACGTACTGATCACTTGTTTCAATTTACCAACTTACAGTATCTTAACATTCCTATTGAAATTTCTATTTAACTTAACAAGCTAACTTAGTGTAAAGTATAGAGGCTACAAGCTACAGTCTACATGTACACAACACGGCAGGCTGCATTACACAGCAACTTTGTTAAGTTCACATGTTCCCGGAGGAGCCTCCAAAGTTGGTGCAATACACTTACAACTTTAACTTATTAACTTGTTTATTGAAACAGTTGCTAGTTTATAACGTTGTTTTCGCTGTTGATTAAAATGTGAATGCAAATAGATAAATAACTATAATTTTTTTATAATATAATATGTTTGAAAAAGGTAAAAGATGCTGCTGCCACCACTGTTTCGATAAATTTACTATCCTATGGTTCGCGTTATCATTTTAAATTTGTTTTTTTAATCTTACTTTAAAAGGTTTACCACTTTTTAACATAAAACTACGAGTATGACTATAAATCAAAGCTAGGGTTGTTATTGACTACGGGTATTTACAAAGTTACTCAATAAATTGTGTCAATTTAATTAAACCTCTGTGTAATATGTTTCACACTTCATAATCGACGTCCTCAACAAACGTCGTATACGATACATTAACATCCCCCCCCCCCATCCCGCAGTTACCCGCACGCAGCAGGTTCAGAGCTCGCAGATCATAGCCCCATCTATTGTTGGTTATTAGTTGTTCAGTGGCCGAGTTGGGTGCGAACTGCCTCCGCCTCTGCCTCCACTTTACAGACAACTCTACTTTAATACCAAATGCAAATTTGTTGCGTAACATCTGCTCACAACTTGGCCCCGAAGAGATATTTGCCTTTCGTACTTAATAAATTCACCCTAAAGTTGCCGCTAAGTTACAGGTGTTTTATAACTAATACAATAAAGTATAAATGGAACTTTAGTTAAAATTAGTTAAGTATCAACAGATTATATCTATTTTTTTCATACATGATATGGTAATTGTGATGTTGACGGATGGATGTTGAAAGATATTGTGGAATCGATTATCTGTCGCCATTTGCAGCGGTATTAAACTCCTGAATTAATCACAGCCATTCATCTTTGATAGTTAAATTCAAAACAACACAGATTAGTAAATATTGTGTCATCTTACATTAACCTTGTTAAAATATAATCTGTTACAATTTGTCACGCCATCCGAGACACTTCCGATACGATAAAACCATTTACACCTTTATAAATAAAATTAAACTCTACCTTCTTTGTGATAGAGTTTAAATTGAGATTGCATATGCGAATCCCATTGTTCAGAAAGCAGTGGCGCGACAAAACTGGCGACTCGACGTAAATTACACCCGCAAACAACGCGCCTCCGCCACGACCAAGATGGATGCCTCCGCCTCCGCCGCCGCCTCCGCCACCGCTGCTGCCTCTCTACCAAGACTTAATGCAATTTGTTCCTGCTTACTTATGGACTAGATTGCATATGCATTTGACAATTTAAACTTTATGTGTTAACGGAAGACTTATATTAAATCAAGTACAAATAGACAATTTTATTAACTGGCAAAACGAAATAAAACGAAATGTGATGAGTGCTGAGCACACTGGGAACGGATTTAAAAAACAAATGTTTGCAATTTTTACGTACATTATGAGGTCAAGAGTGACCAAAAAAGAAGAGCGGGGCTCACTAAAAATATACTGAAATAAAATGTATAGCCGTCTTTCAGCTGAAAATATATTAACTACTAAGAAAATAATATTTTTCTATTTAACATTTTATCAATATGTTAGCATTGTATCACTGTGCTTGTTAATGCACCTACAGTTGTGATAAAAATTTAAACATAAAACGTAAAACTTAACATAAAAGCTTAAGTTTCAGGAAAAGCAGGTAATAAATAGCCAAGCTAGACACTTCCGGTAGCAGGCGTATCTTTCAGGAGTCCAGTGCTGCTACTTCACGACGCTAATAAAAAGCAACAGCTTCTTTGAAAACAGCTTTCAACAGTAAAACGCGAGCTGCAACATTAACAAAGCGATAAATATCAAAACGTTATAGCCGGAGCTATCTCAGAGTTAAGTATCTCTTAGAGTCTCCATTGAATGAAAATCTTTATTTTTACTAGAAGGATTTATTAAAAAAAAATTGTTATGTTAAATACGAAATTGACTGCACGGTTGGTTACTTACCATTGTTCTAAGCCTTGGATACTTATAAGAAATACGGAGCTTAACTAAGTATAAAATATAAATGACAAACAAAATAAGTAAATGACATGAGAGCTGATTTATAATTCCACGTTACTATGTACAAGTGTTTCGTTAAAACGCACGTCTGTCGCATGCACGGCGAAGCTCTCACGAGCGTCTAATGGATTCCGTTCTACATATTATCTATATTCCATTCAGGTCAGCAGACTGGCTGCCATGTGGAGTGTCGACTGCCGGCGGCGCTCGTGTGCGCCTTCGCGCCTCTTATAGAAAGTCTGATTCAAAGCGATCAGCTCAATATGCCTCGCGGAATATAAATATCGCTGATGGAACTCTGCGGGAGCCTGAGTGATTTATTTGTGCGTCAACACAAAGAAACTCCGCGTTGACAATATGCTGAAAGTATTAAGACTTGAAAGCTTTATGGATGAAAACATATACATTATTTTTTTATTATATTTAAGCCAAACAAGCAAGCGGTCATTTACAACTCAATAACAGTCTATAATTATACTCCATGTTAAAGGAATATAATAAAATCTAACATTTAAAGGGTAGTCTATACATCTCTCTGCTGTCAATACAAATGAGCGATATGATGACTTGACAGGGGTAATGTGGGGGGTGGGGGGATGGGAGCCGGATATCTCCGCGATGTTTCCCTGCCACAGGAAATTAAGATGACTCATAAAAATATAATGCGTGTCATGTTACGTGGCATTCTCTGTAATATAGACAATAGCGGTTTTATCTTAAACATATTATTGTGCATCAAAATCTTTAGCAAAAACAAAATAAAGTCATGAATTAACCGCTTAATTGTCACTATTAACCAGAATTATTAGAGGCTAAATGTAACCGCCTTATATTTTCCGCGTCCGTTGGTCTCGGTGTAAACTAATCCTTAGTCGGTGTCTGTCCTCAGTCGGCCGACAGGAACTGACATGATGAAGGAGGACAAACAGTCGGCTTGTCCGTTACGCTTCTCTGGAACAGGACAGGATAATATTTTGTTACCGTCTCTTATAATTACAATGAAATGAACTAACTTATTGTAAGCTCAGTAATTTTATGATTTAATTCTTTATTACTGGCACTTTAAAAGCAATTAAATTATAGTTTAGCTTTATTCTACGTCTTTTAGACTTTCCTCTATGTGTTTAAGAGTGCGGTAACTAATAGTTACGAAATTAAATACCTAGTTCGATTACCAGTACTATTTGTATTTAATTTTGTAATTAAGTTTTCGTAAAACAGAAAACTCAATTACAAAATTGTTTGCTTAGCTAATAGGTACTTAAGTATTTGCTGTTATTCTAATTCAATTTATAAGTAAAAAATTAACTATTAAACATTTCCTTATAAGTACAAACATATACTTCTATTCCTATAAAATAATATTGCAACAAAACGTTTCACAATGTTAGTTAAACATTAACATTTAATTTATTTCAACATTAATTTCGAAATTGCGATGAGTCCAACCGAAATAATTGTAGTTACAAAAGCGCGGGTATCAAAAGCGGAAATAATATTATTTCGAGTGGAAGCGGAGCTGAGCCAAGGAAAACATTAAAAAATACAAATAGGGCACTGACCTTTATTGATAAATCAGTGCAAATGTTTATACCTACGAGTATGTAGGTCAGTGAAATAGCGTCAGTATCAGTTGCGTTAAGTTGTAATTCATTTTAATAATTAACATTATAGGGACATCTAATCCATTATGGTATACACCGTTTTTATATTACAAAAACTTATAAAAATGCAGAATGCAGATCAATTTATATTTTACTTATTTTATTTTAATTCATTGGAATATATAAATTGGATTTCCATTTTACTTTATCACAGTTTTTTTGTTTTTTTTTTTTTCGTCATGGCAACTTTATTATCTTTTTACACCAATTATACTGGCAACTTATGTCTTAAACGTCAAACAAGCAGGCCTCCGCAATGGTTAGCGTCCTGCACGAATTCAAAATTTAATGAACTTTGTTATTTAGAATAGAATTAAATTTGTTTTATGTATTAAGTAAAGTGCATTTAATCGTGTAAAATGTTGGTGTTATTTGAAACTTCGGCGGGCTATGCCATTTTCAAGGTAAGCGATACACGTGTTGATCCTAACCTACGTTACATTCAAAGCGTCCACATTTAATTTAATAAAACAGGTCAAAGTGTTCTCGGAAATGTGAAAATATAATCACTAATACGAGGTTTTAAAGGGTTCAAATTTTATTGTAAATATCTAACATGTATTTCAAATCGTAATGTTTATCAATTTCTATAAAACGAGGTACTAACATCAACCTATATTTAACAGTAGCAAGCCACTATTTATGACGAAATATAGTATTTGTATGCTAATGTAAAGATTTCAATAAGTTATTGTATATACTAACTGTCAGTTTTAAAAGTATAGACATTTTTAAACTAATATAGATGTTATATTTAATTTTCATGTAGAAAAGAAGTAAGTTTTGTTTGGAATACAATAATATGTTTGTTGCAGTTATTAGATGAGTCTAAGCTATCACAAATTGATGACTTATATCAAGAGTTCAACACTCCCGAAGGAGCTTCCTCGGTGTAAGTAACCTTATTTTACTGTAGCTGAATAAGCATAATATTATATAGCATTTATATGCAATAAATTCATTTATTGCTTATAAAATTACAATTGTAACTTCTATCATTTAATATTTGTTGACATACTATTTTTCTTGATTTACATACTGTCTAGAACCTTTTTACACTTAATATACTCTTTTCAGAGTGAAATTAAAGAATTTCATCAAATTTGAAGACACAACTGAAGCATTAGCAGCTACCACAGCGGCTATTGAAGGAAAACTTTCAAAAACACTAAAGAAAGCACTTAAGAAACATGTATGCAAAGAGGTCCAAGACCAGCTTTTGGTAGGAGATGCAAAGCTCGGCAGTGCCATAAAAGAGAAGTTTGATTTGCAATGTGTCTCCAACAGCAATGTTCAAGAACTGATGAGATGTATCCGTTCACAAATGGACAGCTTGCTCACAGGCCTGCCAAAGAAGGAGATGACCGCAATGGCCCTCGGACTTGCACATTCCCTTTCACGTTATAAGTTAAAATTCTCCCCGGACAAAATAGACACAATGATAGTCCAAGCTCAATGCCTCCTAGATGATTTAGACAAGGAACTTAATAATTACGTAATGAGATGTCGAGAATGGTACGGCTGGCATTTCCCTGAACTAGGTAAAATTATTACGGACAATACTCTGTTTGTCAAAATAGTAAAACTTATTGGAACAAGAGATAATGCCTCCAAGACTGACTTATCAGACATTTTACCAGAAGATTTAGAAGAAAAAGTTAAGGAAGCTGCTGAAATCTCCATGGGGACTGAGATATCTGATGATGATATCATGAATATACAGAACTTATGCGATGAAATAATATCAATTACTGACTACAGGACACATTTGACAGATTACTTAAAAGCTCGGATGATGGCAATGGCTCCCAACCTGACTGTGCTCATTGGAGAACACATTGGTGCAAGACTAATAGCACATGCCGGTTCATTGATGAATCTAGCTAAACATCCCGCTTCTACTATTCAAATATTTGGTGCTGAGAAAGCTTTGTTCAGAGCTTTGAAAACTAAAAAGGATACTCCTAAATATGGTTTGATATATCACGCTCAGCTCGTGGGTCAGTGCACCACAAAGAACAAGGGCAAGATGTCTCGTATGTTGGCCGCCAAGGCCGCTCTCGTCACCAGGGTGGACGCCTTCGGTGATGATGTGTCCTTTGAGCTTGGAGCTGAACACAAAGTCAAATTAGAAAATAAACTGAGGCTGTTGGAGGAAGGCAACTTGAGGAGGATCAGCGGCACTGCTAAGGCTAAGGCGAAATTCGAAAAATACCATAGCAAAACGTGAGTATTTTGTATTTAATTTCTTATGAACATAATAATTTAGCATGTTAGTTCAAAAAGTATTCATTAATTTCATGTTTCAGGGAGAAATTCGAATACTCTGTGGGTGCAGACAGCACACTAGGCAAGAAGACTGTCAAGAGAGAGCATTCTCCGGAAGAAGATGGTGAGGAAGTGTCAGCTAAGAGGGTGAAACTAGAAGATGGTGCAGAAGATGTAAGTTTTACAATCTATTAATATATTTTCCTCCCTATAAAACTATGTATTGTGCTCATTAAGTTTTTTTTTTGTTATATTCAGGTCAAACCTAAAAAGAAAATCAAGGCAGAACCACTTGAGGAATCACAAGATCAACTAGATAATGGTATAGATGTTGTTCCTGAAAAGAAAAAGAAGAAGAAGAAGAAGTCCATGGACGTCTCACAAGAGGACGCTGCAGCAGAAGTAGAGGAGCCCCAAGAACAACCAGAGGAGCCTAAGAGTGAGAAGAAGAAAAAGAAAAAGAGACAGTCGCAAGTGGAAGAAGAATAACTACCTCTGTTGATTGAATAAGTAACTAAGCAAAGTTTTTAGGTTAAGTGAAAGTGTTCTCACAGTGTGAGATATTACATATTATTTTTAATTTTCAAATGAAATTTTATTTACTGTGCCCAATTCCTTTCCCTTTTATTGATGTCGTACAAAAGACTAGGATAAATATTAATATAACATGGTATAATGTGTTACATAAAGGACTTGAGAAGTAAATCTGTTAAGTGAGATTAGTGCATCTTTAGAGACAAGGGTAACAAGTAATTAATGCGCCCCCGCGGCCGCCATCTTGTCACATTCCATTCATCATGATAACAACAAAATATTGATCTTGCAGAACAAACAGATATTTTATATTAAGAACTAAAGGATTCATGGGCTAAATAAAAAAAAACTAAATCTTCATTCTATAAACTTCTTGATAACATGAAATTCTTGATAACGTGATAATATAAATTTCAAAATAGAAAACGCAAATTTTTATGACAAAGTAGAAATGATTTTCTCATATTTATATTCAGTACAGTATCTTCATGTGGTGGGGGGCGGGGGGGTATTCACAGCGAGTGAATGAATTACATAAAGACCAGAACGACAAGTGAGCGCCTCAATAACTCAATGTATGAGAGCGTCGCGTCTTCGCTGTGAATACGTTAATAAATTATTTTAATTTTATATTTGTGGAGATGCAACCTCGTACGAATATAGTAGTGTACTTCACTAACGTCGCTTTTGTCTTATTTTTTATTGTACTTTGCAGTCATTCAGAATTTACTCGATTTCTTTATCTTTTAACATTAACACATTGGTTGACTTGGGACATACTATTTGGTGATGACAATGTCGCATTTTGTGACTGTATCCGCCATCTATCTTGAAACGTTAACGAATGTTATATGCAATAAATGTTATTTATAGTTTAATGGCATTTTCTCTATAGTAGAATATATTTTATAGTCATTCGTTACGGCTTCCTCCATTCGACGTATCATACAGTTACGATGTCATCTCGCAGTCCTACAAAGTTTAATGGTAAGTCTGATAGAGACATTTTGGATTGAACTGTCGTACAGTTTTAGATAGAAACTTGTTGTTTCAGGTTATCTTAAAAAAATGGTGACAGATTAAACATAAATACTTTAACAAACGGTTATTTAATATTAACATGATAATATGTGAAGATTACGAAGCGTGCGGGTTGAGTATTCTCTCGACGTCACTTGAGAAGGTGTTCTGAGTCGGAGTCGGCTCGGCGTGTGCTTGACGTGTCATTAGTTTAACACCCGGGTCGAGTGTTCTGCATCATATATTATGTGTAATAAACTAAACGGTAATATTTTGTTTTTCAAATTGTGTTCAAAAACATTCTTCTTTGAAATAAGCCATCTTAAAAGATGCCTAGGGGAAAATTGCTACACCATGGCAATCATAATAAACGGATCAACTTATCTAAATAAATTAATTGGCTTTTTGTCCACAGAAAGTGTATATAAGCAATAGAAACACACAACATTTTGTGAAGTCGAAGAAGGATAACGTAAATTTAATGAAAATAAAATTCGTAACCAAGTACAGTTTAGCTTCTTTATTCATTTTTATTTACGAACGCGAAACATGTGAGTAGCTCGGGGCGACAACAAATCACTCGCTCGCTTTTGGCGCGAATTGTTGCGACGCCATTTTGTTAATAATTTCCATAGCCGGGGGCAGCTGTGACGTCACACTTATCTTAGCAATTACATCGATCATTTATGAGGTTATGATTAAAAGAGCGAGTGAAAGGGATGAAAATCGCCGCCTGATCGTTTTCCCGCCCATCTAGGCTACTGTGTGGACAAGTCGAATGTTAGAAAACAAAATACACGAAAAACAAAACAAAATGCACTAAAAACAAAACAAAATATTCTCAAAAAAAACAGTACACTAAAAAGTAACGAAATA